AAGTGTGCTTCAATTAAACTCCTTTGTATTCGTCACACATTTTTGTCAAGAATGTTCTCTTTTAAATTTTTTATATGATCACCTACTAGCTCTTAATCTAGTAGTAATTTTCTTCACAATGTTAGAATAAATCGCAAATTCGAACCCCGCTTCCTAATATTATTTAACATTGAAAAGAAAATGACTTTTTTTTTAAATTTTATCCAACTTTAAAAATAATTTCTACTAAACTTCACCAAGTCATATCATCAACTTTTTTTTTGGGTTAAATTATTATATAGTAATAAATTACGGTAGGCAAAAAAACAAGAATAATTCATGATAGTTATTTTTCGTTCCTAAAAGCAAAAGAAAAAGACATTTTATCCGACCAAAAAAACTAAACATTAGCCGCGGCATCCATTAAACGTTGCAAATCCAAGCCTTGGTGAATTCCACGACCACGATTGAATGGCTCTGCTCTGATGCGTTTCTCTTTCATCCACGTGTCCAAGATCAAGTCCGTTAATATGGGTTGGGGTCTCGAAATGGATGCTCCAGATCCAAGTCCCAAGTCCAAGTCCAAGTCCAAGTCCAAGTTTTCAAGCCACACCAACTTCGTTACCAGAAGAAAGAGAAAAAAAAAAATTTGATATTCTACAAGTCTAAAGTCTCCACCTTGGAATTATCATAAGAATTCATATCATATATTTTTGTGTTGTCTTACCAACCAAACTCTTGAATCTTCTAAGGCCTCTCGTTTTCTTCGTTGTTACTCATAACCCAAACACAAAACGCTTCCCTTCACACTGCGCCAACTACAGTCACAGACTTCATAGTCCCAGAAGCCCAGGTATGGCCTTCCCTCTCCACCTACCTCCTAATCTTGTTCTGTTTCTTTTTGGTGGGTTTATTTATTTATTTTTATATTATCTTATTTGAAGCTTTGATTGTTTTAAAGTACTTATCCTGAAATCTGGAAAAATGCATTTTTAATCATGTTAAGAGTCTTCGGTTGAAGTTGGTTTTCTGGTTTATGCCTTATTAGGATTGGGGTAGTATGTGATTAAGCAAACTGATGAATGTGATTGTGAATTTGAATGACTGTGAGGTGATTAGATTGCTTTAAGTGTTGCAATTTATTTTAGAAATCTTGAATACTAGACATGGGGTTACTGTGGCCTACAATACATTTGGTTAAAAAAAATGGACTCTTTTAGACATAAAGAAAATGTTTGGTAATTGTAAAGGAATGGGGATTCTTGGAATGAGTTAAAAATTGTGAAACATGCACTGTTGAATGTTGTGCGTGATGATAGCAAATTAGATAATGCAATAGCTTCTGAGTCCAAGATGCAAGAAGAGAGACATATTAAGCTAGCTACCATCTCGGTCCATCCATCTCTGCCATGACCAGCTAATGTCTGAATTTGTGGTGGTTAAAAGTTAAAACCTGTTGCAAAATCCCAATTATTGGTGTGATTTAAAATTTTGGATTCTGGGGTAAGGGTTAAATTTCTTTATCCATCTTCTGATGAAGCATAGTTTTGAGTTGTGTATGTAAACAGTAATGTTGTAATTCTAAAGGCTGTTGCCTCCACTATCAGGGAGTAATATACTCCCAAAAAAAAAAGGCAAAGAAGCTTTAGTTGGGAGTGAAGGTCATATGGACAGGGGAGGGCCCAAGACATGCCCTCGATGTCTCAGAACAGAATCACACAGAAAAGGAGAAGGGGCCTAGCTGGACAACTCATATAGCGGATATAAGGGTTTCATGAGTACTGTTTGTGCATTCATAATTTCAATACAACATGTAGAACAGTAGAAGCTATGAATTCTGTATATTGTGGTGAATATGATAAGATTGAAAAATGTGCTAAAAGTTCATCTGATTTCATGGGTTGCTTCCTTTCTTTTTTTCTTTTCCTTCTTTCATTTTACTCTTGTGAAGCTGATCATGTTTCTCGCTGGAGATTACTTCTCCATCTTTACTTTCTTTTTTGGAGCAGTGGTTTAGAAGGCTATGGTTGTTCGGTCTAGGGAGAATGGAAACTAATGGTAGCAATTCTAATTTCCAAGAAAAGCAACCTTCAGATGCTTCAAATATTGTTGGTAGGGAGAAGCGTACTGAGAAAGAAGTCTTTATTAATCATGGTATGCCTCTTTCCCCAGAATCAACCCCAGCCAGAAAAATAAAAGGAGCTGTTTTTTTTTTAATTACAAAAACCAAATTTATTTTCCTGGCCAATAATGAGTCTAGTGTCGGTACAGGTTGGTATAAGTGTGGCCAAACCTTATAACAGAACTCTTTTTTTTTTTTTTTCCAAGCCTTTCTCTGAATTGTGGTGTGAATAAGAGTGGATGTTTCAATTGGTGTTATTAATGTGGTGCATGATACGTGACATTTTAGAAGCATGAAAGGTAATATCTTTCCTCCACACTTGAAAGAAGTCATTATATCAATTAGTTGAAGAATTTTGTTCAGTAAATTATTGATATCATCGAGATTCAGACACTGACTGCTGCTTGAAAGTTATCTAATCTACTTTTGGGTTCTCTATGACTTGTTTTTCTTTCTTCCGCCCCTTGATGATTAGAATCTTGTGAAGTAGTATCTTATTCTATCAATAACATGGATGACCTTACGGTGCAGCTGAGATAGCTTGGCATGAGAGGAGAAGAGAATGGGTTGGTGATGAGTCTCAGAAATCGAGAAAAGCGCCAAGAGAACCAATTATGAGGTACATTTTTGTACACTTACTGTCACACTGATGGTCTAGATACTAATAGGCTGCATCACTTCTTCTGGTCACTTGTTCACTAGCTCTACCAAAAAGTACTCCTTGTTTATTTGGAGTCCAGGGGAGTAATAAGTTATTAGCCAATAATCTAGGGGAAAAGTGAAGCAGTCATCTACATTTGTGTCTCTGTGTGTTGACCTGGGAATCCTCTAAACAAGGGTGGAACCAGGATTTTTGGAGGGGTGGGCTACCATTGACATAAAAAATATTAGCCAAGTTTTTGTGGAACCGAAAACTAGTACAATATATATTTACACAACTAAGTTTGTGGTCTGAAGTAACCAAGAAAATAAGTCTGTAGTTTTAAAGCTGCATTTTGGGCTTTTTTTTGCTTATAAATGGGTGAACTGTGTTTTATATGGGCTAAATAAGGGTAGGCTTAAATGTGAAAAAAAATATGAATTTATAACCCTTTTTTTTTTTTCCGTAAGCTGTTCTACAATTGAATTCCAAATCTGGCATGGGAATTGCAGTATGCCTTTTTTTTATACATGATTTTATGTAAAGGATGGATCCTGAGGAGATTAAATTAGCATCTCTACTTGACAATATTTGTGCTCATGAAGAAGCAAGAATGATATTAAAAAAAAAAAACCAGAAGAAAATTCACTTGTATGCTAATATATGAAATAAATGAATTTGCAATGTAAGTGAAAGAATCATATGCTCCTAGAGTTGTAGTTGGTGGGTGCTATCAATTTATTGGCTATGTGTGCTTCTGTGATATCCTCTTGTAGTGGGTGTGCAAATTTTTTGTTCCCTGTTCCAGAGGAAAGTAATGAAGGAATCTTCTTTTTCAGCTGGACCACAACGTATGAGGATCTTCTTTTATCTACTGAACCTTTTCAGGAGTCCATACCTTTAGCTGTAAGTTTCTCTGATTAGTTTCCTTCTCTTTCCTTTTTTAGATGGTGTTGATGTGAACAATTTAAATTGGTGGGTTATGCAGGAGATGGTGGATTTTTTAGTTGACATCTGGCATGAAGAAGGCCTCTATGACTAAGTGATTGGATATCCTGTGCTCTTTCTGCACAGTAAGAATTTTGCATAGTCTTGTTTGTGCTTTAAATTTGTCATTCAAGGTAGAGTTGGTTTTCTCGTTCCTGATTACTTAAACCATAGTCTTTGCAGTGGAGATATAGATTACATGTAGGGATCCATTAATCTTAGCATATTTCGTAATGACAGCGAAGAATTTGCGTAATCAACTAATCAAATTCTGTATTTCATTTCGATATTGGATTGGATCATTTAACTTTTTGCCTTTTGACTACTCTTCTTACTGCACTAATATATGAAAGTTGTGGACTGGAAGTGTAGTGTGATTATAATTGATGTCGTGTGCTACCACTGCCAGTTCTCGTCCCTTCCGTTAATACAAGGTTTCGGGTTTTGGGGTTTCAATTCCTACTGCTGGTGCTGGTATAGGTCGTTGAATCCATCTCATTCCAAATGTTATGGTCCGCATGCAGAAACCTCTTCTTATGAAACCATACAAGAAAAATGTGTCCAAGAGCTCATATGGTATCAATATGACATTACAAATTCCGGTTTCAAATATTTAGACCCAGCCAGGAATATATTAGTGGAAGTCTTTGTTGAGATCTCGTTTGTTATGATAAATGTGTGCATTCAAGCGGATCAAACTCCAGCTTACACATGAGTTTTTATAAATAAATAAAAAGAGTCAAAATTTACACCTCATTTTTAAAAATGTCAGTTTTTATAAAAATATAGCTAAATGTGTGCATTCAAGCGGATCAAACTCCAGCTTACACATGAGTTTTTATAAATAAATAAAAAGAGTCAAAATTTACACCCCATTTTTAAAAATGTAAAGTTTTTATAAAAATATAGTCAAAAACTTACCTAAATAGACAAATGCCCTTAAAAATTTAGATATCCATATGCATTTCCAGATAACAATGAGGGTAACATATTTCACTATAGGGGATTAACTAAATGTAACTTAAGTGACACTTAAAAAAAGGCAAGTCTGCAAAAACCTTACCTGAGCAGAGACTTTTCTAACTTCAGAATTAGTGACTGCACAACGTGGAAGATACCTAATGACCCTGTCTCCCAATGACAAGGCCTCACGACTTGGCAATACAAAAGCCGCTGGCAGTTGAACAAGATGATAAGAATAAGGGTAGGCAAAAGCAAAAATAAAGGAAAAGCTGTTTCAATCAAAAGACATTTTTACATGGTAAGTTGGAAAAGTTCCCACGCAAGTTACAGTCAAATTGCTTGTTGTGCGTGCAACTTCCTCGGCAGCCTGTCCGAAACTTGAGAAGCATCTCCTGATGTGAAATTTTTATACCCCTACAAGAGTGAAAACTCAGTCTTATCCAAAAGGTGTCAAAAATTTCACAACTGAATAAATTAATAATAGAAAATCACATATAACATGAATTAGTATATATTCCAAAATTATAAAAGAATCCTGATATAGCATCTGGTAACTTTCTCACACAAAAAGGAAACAAAGAGAAAACCAAAAAGCAAAGCAGTTTGAGAAGAATAAGCACTTCCGAAAAGCATATTTTATGTGATTTAATATACCTTGTAAGAAGAATCGCAGACAAGAGAGTGATGAGGTTGTCAATAAGAGGATTGACGACATTTACTGGATGATTTGGTAAAGCAAAGAACCCTAAGGTGGCCTGTCAAAATTATCACAATAAAAAAAATAATAAAAAAAATAAAGCAACAACCAATCAAGAAGTGTGTTTCCTGTTACAAATAGTGCATCAGCATAATAAACAGCAAACCTTTAATACATGGTTTCTGGTTTCAATCGTTAATTTTGGCTCCACAGAGACCAATGTAGTGCAGGCACTTAAAGCACGGGCCTGCAGAAATTAATGAAGAGTGAGAAAAATTGGAAAAGGTTCAACAGAAGTTGACCATCACATTTGGGGAGTTTGTTTCAAAAATATTTACCAAGCAATCATTTTCTTCTTGGGAAATATTAGTGAAATTTTTTCCTTCCAAGTATTCATTTTGGCATTGATTTGCAATGGAATAATTTCTAAAACGAAATAAGTGTAGATTTAATGACACTTTCAAGTTGTATTGGAAAATATCTCCCCAAAACATTTTCCAGGTTTCTCCTAATCTTTGGAAAAATATGGTTCCCTAAATTGTGGAAAATTGAGTCCACCTAGAAAATTGTGTTTTCCCATAATTTACTAATTCCATGGTTTTTCAGGCAAAACAAATACCGAGAATGTTTTCTTAAAATATTTTCAGAGAATGAAAACAAGAAAACGAATTTGCATTTTTAGGAAATGAAAATGCGTCTGGTAGATTAATTAGAAAACATCTTCAGAAAACAAAAACAATGAAAACGTGTCTGGTAGTACAATTTGAAATAATAATATGTGAGTTATTTTTATGAAAATGTTTCCCATGAGAATGAAAACAACTTCTTTATGTTTCTACAAGTACACATGAACTTGTTTTCATAAAATGAAAACATTCTCAATGTTTTCTGTTTTGGGGCCACTGAACGTGTTTTTGCCTCATTTTTGTTCTCTAAAAATGAAAACAACCCATTAAAACGTTATCGAATGGGGACTTACTAACTTGCGTGTCTAGAAGTTCCAGACAAGAATCTGAAAAGCTTTCACTATCATCTCGTCTATTAAAGTTAATATATAGTCAAGCATTTGGTCCTTTCTTTTGAATGGAAATGATGAACCATTTTCTGCAGCATTAATGACAGCACAACCTGAAATATCAACACATAAGTTTACGAAAAGTTGCATTGTACTAATGAATGCAAGTCATCTAAATCATATAGCACAAAACATAACAAATGTGTCCATTGGCCAACTGCACCCTACTATGCAAGAGCAATTGTATCCTATTTTGAGGATTGTGATTATAATATGTCACATTAACAGAAAATATCAAGCCTTTTACAACAAAACATGTATACAACATCACCCCATTTACTACATAAACAGTACCTATCATGTCATCGCCCATGTTTCTTTTAGAGTTTAAGTTGGACCATTGACTGAAAAAGAAATTAGTAAGGGAAGCAGTTGTATTTTAGAGGGTTTTGTCTATATTTCATGATGTTCTTAGGTGGATGTAAGTACTCTTAGGCATTGATCAAAAGACTTAGTTTGTCTACTATGTACCATTACACAGATTTTCTTCAACGAAAGTATGTTTACTTAACCAAAAGAAAAAGTATGTGACCTACACCCTTGGAATCAACTACACAACCACCACATGAACAAGAATCAGCCACGCATATGGCCCAAATCTCTATGGAAACACGCTACTGCTGCTGCTAGCCGGTGCTTCTGGACCTGACCCTGAGCTGCTGCTCCTGCTGTTTTGTGGCGGGGGACCTTCTACTGCTGCGCTGCAAGGGCTCTTGCTGTTTTGAGGCGCTGATGGCCTTGTTCGGTAGCAGATGAGTGGAGGTTGCTTCTAGAACTAACCCCGAGTTGTTGGACACGTTCTATTCTTGTGTTGCTTCTGAAATGGGAGGTGCTGTTGTGTGGGGAGGGGGCTCATCCAATTGTTCTGTGGGGGTAGGGGGATTCTGTTGCTGCTAATATTGATGCAACGCTGCGGGGACTCTTGCTGTTTTGAGGGGCTGATGACCTTGTTCGCTAGTTGCTGATTGGAGGTTACTGATGGAACTGACCCCGAGTTGTTGGACCCTTTCTGTATCAGTTGAGCTTCCAGGTCTGTTGTAGTGTGTTCATCCTGCTGCTCTATGAGGAGGGGCCTTCTACTATTGCAGCGCTGCCGGGACTATTGCTGTTCTGATGGGCTGATGGCCTTGTTCGGTAACTACTGATTGGAGGTTACTTTTGGAACTGACCCTTAGCTGTTGGACCCATTCTATATCGGTTGAGCTTCCAGGTCTGTTGACGCTGATGACACTAAGGACGCTGGGGGCAGTGGGGACTGTGGGGGCGATCCTCCCCTAATCAGGTTTTGCAAGTTTTGTTTAAACAAATGACAGAAATTGTTCCACCTCACAGGTAAAACATTGAACCTACACACACTACTAAGATATAATAATAACTAACCAAAATTGAACAAAACCGATAATTACACAAAAAATATTACCTCTGAACGTTTAATTTTGAAAAAAGAGAAGAAATTAACTTTGCGGCAATAATAGTGCCCAAATATAGCCAGACTATGGTGAACAATCTTCCTTCCTTGGAGCGTGTAAAAATGGTCGTTGCCGTATCCAGTGGTGCTAATGGAGGACACTACCAAGTGAAATGAGGCACAAATTTTCCTCCTTAGTCAATTCTCATCTCTATTAAAACCATGAATGCACAATCCTCCAATTCATATGAGAATAGAAATTGACAGTAACGTACCAAAAAACTTAATACGACATATGATTGCCTCTGTGTCAGAAAAACAATCTAAAAGGGAATGTCCGACAAGATCTAAAAAATGTCTAATGACAAGTGCTCCATAGTAAAAGCAGGTCAGTATCAGGACAATAACAAGCCCTTTACTTTTAGGAACCAAGTCCCTAAAACCAATGGAGGTTAGCGTGATATCCTTCATTTGTTTTACTCAAAAAAAATAATAATAATATTCAATGTCAATAATAATAATCACATATTTTCTAAAAATATATTGAAATTACCACTAATATACAGTCAAGAAAAGAATCTTTTACTCATTCATAGAAATCTAGAAATTTTCACCGAAAAACCCTTCAAATCCTCACTACTTGAAATTCTACCAATACTGTAACTATATATTCAGATTTTTAGAAAATCTGGAAACCCACGCACCTATAGTCAGGGAAAGAGATATATAAATTTCAAACCCACATATTAACATTCAATGTTAATAATAAAAGAAATTCTCAATGATATGCAGTCAAGAAAGGAATGTTTAACTCATTCGAAGTAATCTTAAAATTTTGGTCAAACTTTTAGAAATTGATTTTCTAAAATTATAACCCATTTCTAAATATCACGCGCAAAATGACTATGAGAAATGGAACTATAAAAATAGTTAAGAACTATAACAGGAAATATGAGAGAGAGAGAGAGAGAGAGAGAGAGAGAAACTTACCCGATGAAAGCTCAAAGAGTGAGATTTAGGGTTTAATGAGATTCTTGATTGTGAGAGAGTGTAAAATCTGATAATCGGAACAAGAGATAAAAGTAAAAAATAGTAAAAACAGGCAGCCAGTCTTAAGCGCAGTGGTGACTGGCCGAATGGTAAATCCAGGGCTGATGTCATCCAATTATTCCCAACTTGTAGATCTGAAGAGCGGAGAAGATCCTACAACGAAACCACCGTAGGAAAGCCTCCGATGGTCGGTCATCCACCATCCCTCTATAGGGCGAAGTTATGAATGTGTTGTCTCAACAAGAATTGGATATTATTTTGGAGGATAAACTCGAAGAAATTGATGATAACCAGTGGAAGAGACTTAATCTTCATGCTTGTGGCTCTATTCTATCGTTTCTTGATAAAGATTAGAAATACCTATATATGAAGGAAACTTCTGCAAAGGAGTTATGGAGGAAATTAGAGGAGAAGTACATGACCAAGAGTGCAGAAAATTGACTCTTCTTGAAGGAGCGACTCTTCTGATTTCAATATCGTTGAGGTATTTCTATGCACGAACACATCAATGATTATAATAAAATACTTTCTGATTTAGAAAACCTTGATGTGAAAATTCCTGAGGGAGATAAGGCACTATGTTTGTTAAATTCATTGCCTAATGATTATGATCATTTGACAACTACTTTGTTGTATGAAAAATCCGAGGTGAAACTTGATGAGGTGTCTGCGGCATTGGTGAATCATGAGTGTCGTAAGAAGGAACAGAAGACTCATAATTCACAAACCGAGGCACTCGTTGCAAGGGGTCGAACAGAGGAAAGAAAATTTGGGAAGCGAGGAAATCTCGTTCAAAATCGCGAGGGAAGTTACTTGATAAAGATGAATGTGCTTTTTGTCGCCAAAAGGGTCATTGGAAGAAAGACTGCCCCAAATTGAAGAACAAAGAGAATAAGAAAGTGGGTTCTGAAGCAAATGTTGCAAAATCGGGAGATGATGATTTCGAGTTTGCTTTGGCTAGTTCATCTGCTGATGGTCACTCGAAGGAATGGATTTTGGATTCAGGTTGTACCTATTATATGTGTCTTATTCGGGAATGGTTTTTTAGCTTCGAGAAGCGGGATGGTGGAGTTGTTTGCTGGGCAAAATTTGCTTGAAGATGCATGATGGAATAGTAATAGAATTTAGTGATGTTTGGTATGTACCGGATATGAAAAAAAATCTTATCACATAGGCACATTAGAATCCAAGAGTCTCAAGATCACTGTGGATGGTGTAGTTTTTAAAACTATGTACGAGGCACGAGTGGTGATGAAATGTACAAGACAGAATAACTTGTATTTCTTGCAGGGGAGTACAGTTATTGGTGGAGTAGCTGTTACCGAAGCTGTTGATGCAGATAACAAAGACACTATGAGATTATGGCATATGCGTCTTAGGCATGCTGGTGAAAAGGCGTTGTAAGGATTGGTGAAGTAAGGCATATTGAAAGTTGCAAAGGCATGCAAATTGGAATTCTGTGAACATTGTGTGCTAAGTAAGCAAATTAGAGTGAAATTTGGCACCGCTATTCACCACACTAATGACATTCTATATTATGTTCACACTGATGTTTGGGGACCTTCCAAGAGTGCATCTTGAGGAGGTAGCCATTATTTTGTCTCCTTTGTTGATGACTTCTCTGGAAGAGTATGGGTGTACACCATGATTGGAGGTTACTTATGGAA